CCAAAGCAGCAGGTGAGGGGGGAAAAAATAAATTCTCTCCTAAAGCACGATCATTAATATAGCCTCTTTCTTCAGGTATCTTGAGAAGCATAAATGCTTTTAAAACAATTATTTTGAGATGGTCCCAGCACCATTTTATCAAACGAATTTAAAGAAAAATTAATTATTTAATTCATATAATTTGAACTTGGTTGTAACTAAGTTTCTCAATTTTAATTTGAAAAAAATAATTTTTTATAATTTTAACTTAATTACAATTTAATTTTTAAACTTTAATTTAGTACAACTCAATCCATATAATTTTATCAATTTAAATTATTAGTTTTTAAACTTCAAAAAATAACTTCAGTCTTTAAAAATTTATTTTTTAAAATATAAGAATTAATATTTTAAATGATTAAGATTATAGAGAATAAATAGTATTGTGTGAAAGTTTATGTATGGAATTTTAATTGACTCAAAAATATAAGTACAAAATAATTAATTTTTTTTAAATCAGATTACTTTCAATTATAGAAAGTCTTTATTAAAACTCACGAAGACATCCAAAAATACAACATTACCTTGCTGGAGATGTACTCCATGATTTCATCTGCTGAGATGTTAAAACCTTGCGATTTTACAACAAATGCCACAGGAACCTCTCCTGCAACTTCATCTTTCATCCTGAAATAACCAAACCAGTCAACCGTACGTAGCTGTAAACTATAAAAATATTTATATTTTTTGAAACTTGATGTTTATAATATATACAGAAAACTAAAGAAACTAAGGAAGTAGATACGGAACAAGAGCGGCATCAGAAATGAAAGGATGAGAGATGAGAAGAGCCTCGAGTTCAGCAGGAGCCACTTGGAAGCCTTTGTATTTGATCATTTCCTTCAAGCGATCCACAATGAACAGCTCGTCGTCATCGTCTACATATCCAATATCACCACTGTGCAGCCATCCTCTTTCGTCTATCGTTCTCTCTGTTGCTTCTGCATCGTTTAGATAACCTACGTGGTACACACCCAACGTTTACTTCTCTTCTTCCCTGCTGAATCAATACCAAATGAACCACGTGTGTGTGTGTGTGTGTGTGTGTGTGTCTAAATACCTTTCATAATCTGGTTGCCTTTAATGCAGATCTCGCCGACTTGATTCCGGCGAAGGGATATGCCGGTGTCAGGATCAACGATCTTCATCTCGGCATTTCTTACGATGGTCCCGCACCCACCTGATTTCACCTCGAACGCCTCTTTCCCAAAAGCTAAGCTCATTGACACCGCAGGACCAGCCTCCGTCATCCCATATGCCTGAAATTTCTCATACATTACTACTCCACCAACTTCATATCTACATATGAAATTACAAATCTTATTTTTATTTACTTGAGCATTGAATTCACCGTTCTAATTACCTGTCCAAGAGTGGCATTGGGAATCTTGGCCCTCACAGCATCCTCGAGCTCTTTCTTCAATGGGGCTGCCCCGCACATGATCATCCTAATCGACGACAGGTCGTATTCTTGCAGGTTTTGGAATTTGACAATGGCCTGCAAAATGGGTGGCACGAACGGCGCAACGGTCACTTTGTGTTTTTGGACCAACGCTAACATCGTCTCTATCTCAAACTTGTGTATGATCAATATCGCAGCACCGACTCGAAGCCCAGTGAGTAGAATAGTGAACAGAGAATAACTGTGAAACAGAGGACAAACGCACGCGATCACATCCTCCTTGTGAAAATACAGATTAGGATTTTCTCCATCAACCAGTTGAGCCACATTTGTGACTAGACTTTTGTGGGTTAGCATAACTCCTTTGGGAGGCCCTGTGGTTCCTGATGAATAAGGCAGCGCGACGACGTCTTCTGTAGAGATCGTCACCGGCGGGATCTCATTCTCGTCGGCGTTCATTAAATATGAGAAACGTACGAAATGGTCAGCCGTATCCACCGACAAGGGTGATATTTCATCATCGATGAGCACCACTTTAACGCTGTTGACTGTTGCAAGATCCTTAACCTTGTCAACAAAGGACGCATGCGTGATTATCAGGCTGGTATTAGAAGCGGTGGCTTGCTTGGCGACCTCTGCTATGGTGTAAAATGGGTTGGCGGTAGTGACGATGGCTCCGAGGTAGGAGGCTCCGAGGAAGGAGAAGACGAAATGGGGAGAGTTCAGAAGGAGGAGCATGATGACGTGGCCATGACCGACGCCAAGGTTGTAGAGACCGGAGGCGACTTTTCTGGCAAAAAGTTCACCGTCGGCGTAGGTGAATGTCTGGCCTGTGGTGCTGTTGATCAAGCAAGGACGGTGTTTGAACGGAGACAAACGCTCGAAACAGTAAGAGTGCAAAGGAAGGTGGGTTGGGATGTGAATGTCTGGTAGCTTGGAACGGAAAATGAATTCATCGCAAGGAACTTCTGTTTCCATTTCCATTTCTAAAGGGAGAGAAACCCTTAAACAAATGCAAATGAATGGAGTGTAATTAAGCAGACACAAGAAAAGGGAGATGATGATGAGGAATATTGCAGAGAGAGATGGTTGTAGATCCTGTGTTTTAGTTTCAGTGATAAGGTCGATATATATATATATATATATATCAATCAAAGCGAGGAAGGAGAAAGCGAAGAGAGGGAAGGCAAAGTTTCGGAGTAATTAATATTCTTATTAATGATATGGTATCCTAATGGATATAGAACAAGCCGTGGACGGTGGACGAAACGGAAGGATTGAGGCAATGCACTAGTCAACGTAAAAGCATCACTTTTCTTGATCATTGAATAACAAGCTACAGGGTAATCACAATTCAGATACTCCTCCTGTCCAAAATATACATCACCTTCGTATATGTACTAAATAATGTTGATCTACAGTAAGAAATTTTATTTTTAAAAAAAGTTCGGAAACTGAAAATTTTATTTTTAAAAAATTGGAAAACTGACAATTACAGGCATTGTTGAAGTATTAATGGCAATTAAAGATCTCAAATTATTGAAATGTTATGTAAGGACCATGGTCTTTATTTAAAATTAAAAAATAAATTATTATTACAATAATCAATAGAACACAACTCAAATTTAAGTAAAGTTAGTTTTGAATTTGAGTAATGTTACTTGTTAATTAATTAGAAGTCAATTATGAATAGACAAATATTTTTATGAATTTAAGTAATGTTAGTTTTGAATTTGAGTAATGTTACTTGTTAATTAATGGGAAGTCAATTTTGAATGGATATATTTTTATAAATTTATGTATCATTATTTATAAATTTAAGAATAGTCACTCGTGAATTTTACGAATGTCGCTATTGAATTTATGCAAATTCAATTATAAATGAACAGATAGGTTTGTAATTAAATTTTTGCATTACTAGTGATTCAGTGACACTCAATTGTAAATTTAAAGAATGTCACTTTTGAATAGAAAAATTTTTAAATAGATTGGGTAGATCTTATAATTTGTGGTTTGCTAATTTGAATTTTCCTAGTCATCTAAATAAAATCTTATGTGACATTATTTTAATTAATTTTATTCTTATAATATAATGCATTTTTAATTTCTTTCCTTTTGTCTCTTTCTCAACTATCATTAATGTTGTCTGAATATCATAGTTTTATTGGATAAATTACAAATGACGTGGCGCACCTAATCTTTCAAAGAATTTTTCCTTTTGAATATATAGATCATTATATTATAATCAATTGTGAATAAATATAAACATTTTTAATTGAAAATGAGTGATTTAGAAAACCTCAAGTGGTTATCCTAAAATTCACAAATGAGGATATATATATTCATGAAATTATCTATTCATTCATAATTAACTTTTTAAGTGATCATCCTTAAATTCATGAATGACCTTCTATTGGTTATTTCAAAAATTAAAAGTATTTCAATTGCAAATAAAGACTATGACTATGGTTCTTCTCTAATATTTCAATATTTTGAGGTCATTCAATAAGTTAGTCATTTAATATCTTTACAAAATTTCTAATTATCATTTTCCCAGAAAAGTTAATGGTATCAAAATTTTCTTTTTCACAAATATCCTTAATAATTAGAATCTAGGGAGAGATTATGTAAAAAAAGAAAAAGAAAAAGAAACTAATATTACTTTTGGATGGAGGAAAATTTGAATTTAAGTTAAATCCATCATTTGGACCCATTAAAAAAGGACAAGACTTATATACTTATCTTTATATACTTAATATGCTTTCATTTAATTAAATCAAAACATGTGAATTTTAATGTGTTAATAATATTAATAATAAAAATTTATTATATAATAAATAATATATAATAGGTACACATGTCTTGATTTAATTGAAAATAAACATATTAAATATATAAAATTAAGTATATAAATTTTTTCCCTAAAAAAAAAATAAACGAGGCTTAAACACAAAAGGACACAGCCTCTTTTAACTTCATCTCTATCAGAGCCAAGATTGATGTGGTTCCCAATCCATGCTCCTTACTGCCTCTTAGTGGGTTCTATTCTTGTACTGTTTCAGGGTTCTATTCTTGTACTGTTTCAATTCAATGATGCAAACCTTGGGAAAGAGCCTTTCTTAACACAACCAACCATCTTTTTCCTTATTGGCAAAAGGAGATAATAAAAGCGCACTCCCGTTTTTCCACCTGAAAAACGCACTCCTATGCATAATTTATTTATTTTCGATAATATCTCCTATGCATAATTTATTTATTTTCGATAATACCTCCTATGCATAATTTAGTCTATAACAAATCATCTAATGTTATTGATACTTGTTTATGCATACATTAATGCCCTTGTGAAATCAACCAAAGTCGTTGGAACATGGTTATGACTCACTTCCTTCTGGTTCATATATTAAGGACAAAAAAATATTTCAAATTTCATCTTATGTTAAGGATTGAGAGGAATACAAGTTTTTTTCTTTTGTTAAAGCAAATAACCATCTAATTATTTTATATATCGTATTTCTAAATCCATATTTCACTTATCACCCTACCTCAAACTACCTGGTTGGATATGAGAAGAGTTTGGTTTGAATTTTTTATAATCATTCCAATTATACAATCATTTATAAATTACAACACCTTGGATGAGTTTTTCCTTTTTCGTAAAAGCCTTGGATGTGTTTTACTCTCACATTCCGCATTTACAATCAATAGAGATAAAATAAAAAATATACCAGGCTAATTAATTTGGGCCCATATTCATGTGGGCTTGGGTTTGGGCCGAACAGATTAACTTGACGCAAGCCTTTCTCTGAGGTCTTTGCGCAGTATCTAGCCAGAGGGTGCCTTTGGAATTGAGTTTACGAAAATAACCCTGTTGATTCTCTTGTAAAATACAACCTGCACACAAAAACTAAGATCCTTGAAATACGACTAATATTTAATATATTATTCGGGGAAATATAGATAAGTCCCAAATAAGAAAATCAACTAAGTCTTTTGAATTCTATTCATTGCTAGTATTAGTAATATGCTCCTAGAAGAATTTGTGCAAAAACATATAGGATATGTTGTAAGTTTTTAAATTTGACTCGTAAATATTATAGGAAGATTGATTAAAAAAATTATTTATTTTAGTCTAAATCACATCACGGAATTTTTTTAAAAAAAATTGACAAATCATCCTATAATATTTACAGGGCAAACTTAAAAAATTTACAATTTATCCTAAGTATGTTTTCACAAGTTCTTCATGAATCTATTAGCAAAACAAAGCCAAAATTCAAAGAAGCTATTAGTTTTTTTTTTTTGCCCAAAAAGTTATTAATAATTTAATTTGCTTGCAAAACAAGTGAAGAAGAATCTGGCACACCCTAATTGAAGTCTTGCTTATCAAAATTAGTGAAGTTTCACCAAACTCTTGGGCAGTTGGGCCATAATTTAAAACTGCTAAGATAAGAAGGAACCTACGTTATGGAAGGAAACCAAGAGGGAAAGAGAGATCTCAAGGACGCGTTTAATTGGTTGTGATTCTAATATCAATTTAATCAAATATTTTACCAATGAAAGTAATTACATGAAATAATTGATAATAACATTATATTACCTGCTTGGAGATGTAATGCTTGATTTCATGATCAGAGACCTTAGAAGCATTTGATGTTACAACAAAAGCCACTGGAACTTCTCCGGCTGCTTCATCTTTCATCCTAAAATAACTCAATTCAATAATCTGATAACATCAATTAATTAATTAATAAGTAGATGAGGAAATTAATTAAGCTAGTGATGACATGTACGTACGGAACAACGGCGGCATCAGAAATGGAGGGATGAGAAATGAGGAGAGCTTCCAGCTCAGCAGGAGCCACCTGGAAGCCTTTGTATTTGATGAGTTCCTTCAAGCGATCCACAATGAAGAGCTCGTCGTCATCGTCAACGTATCCAATATCACCACTGTGCAACCATCCTCTTTCGTCTATTGTTCTATTCGTCGCCTCCGCGTCATTTAAATAACCTGCATATACACTTCACTGAGTTCACCAGGACGAGGCAATGCTCCCAAGCTCATGCTCAAATAGTGTTTATAAAAATTACAAACTGCACATCGATCGGAAACGGATTTGAATACATGATATTATGAGTGATAAGCCAAATTCTTAACCACTGGACCAACTTTACTAGTTCTTGCTAGACTTAGCGTGTTGGCTTATATGTAGTTTTAAGCATGGAAAATTAACAAAGGCGTCATGATGAGTCAGAGATAACTATAGGCAAAGAGAGACTAATCATTAAGTTATGCCAATCTCAATATTCATTTATCGTATGAGATTTTATATACAACAAATCAACAGATCAAAGTATGATCAGAATCGATATGATCGATGAACATAATTTTCATCTTTCTTTTAGGGGGGAAACTACACATGCACGCGTACGCATCATGGTGACTATATGTATATAAATACTATTCCTCTAATTCTATTTATTGGACAAAAAGAGAAAATTTATTTTTGTCCTATTTATAGGGTACTTCATTAATTATTGTGTCTATCTTTACTATTTCACCCCTATTAAATGTTAAAAAAAGGTTATTAAATGCTACATTTATTTTTAATATATATATATATATATAATATAAATAAAGTTAAAAACTTTTATGAACTTTACAATTTTTCTTAGTTTTAGTAAAAATATTAGAAATGACGTATAAATAGGACTAGAGAGAGTATATTATATCCAGTCTTAACTTATTGAAGTGTTCTAATGCTTTAAAATATATAAATTGTTCTCTAGATATTCAAATTATAATAAATAAGCAAGTGATAAAATTAAAAAATATTAATTATTATAATTTTAACTTATGTTTGTTTGGCAAGACTTTGACTTATATTGAGGGCCAAAAACTTTCAGAATTTCTCTTATAATTAAAAGAACCAGAAGAATTACATTTTTCATGAAATGTTCAATATGATATGTAGGGTGGGAAAAGGTCCGCCTTTAACTAAAGGAAAATTTGGAAAAAAAATTTATGTCTTGCTATAAACTAACTATCACCAGTTATTGATCTTAGTGAAAGTAATTATTAATAAATATAGTATTCCTTCAATTCTTATTATAAGGCACTTTTAACTATTTGACCGAAACTAATAAAAGGTAGTTAAATTACTAACTCTGTCTAAAACTATAACAAACTTTAAATTTTACAGCTACTTAAATGAAAATTTTTAAATTTGTATTACAAATATCTCTCTCATAGTGTCTTATATTAAAGACTAAAGAATTTTTTTAAAAGATGGCCAATACAAAAGAGACCAAAGGAGCAGGGAATATTTTTAATTAGTTGAATCAATTTGTGAATATGAATGCTATCTACATAGTTAGGTGTGGATACGTATGGATTGCTAAATAATTCAGCCAAACGGTTGGATGTCAACATATTCCATTAAAATGAGACAGCGGAAATAATTGATAAAGACATGGGGAACTTACAAAGTATTAACATAACTAGACACACACCCAGAGGGCGTCATCAAGTTATTTGTAGATTTAGAATAATCAGACAAAGTCTACAATATTAGTAGATCTTGATATTAATTAAAATTTTTGCCTATTTTCGTGTTTCTCTAGTCAGGAAGACGCACACACTCACAAGAACATACGAATATGTTAACATCATCCAAGGTCTCTTTCAAACAAGGGAGGAGGTTATATTACCATTTGGACAACTTACTGTTGACTGTAATTGATAACCCAAAGGTAGCATACTCTTTTTAATTTTTATTATAAGGCACCTTTTAAAAGAGATAATGGTATTTAATATGAACTCATTAATTATGAAATAAAATGTAATGTAAATTTAAAAAAATTTCATTTAAATATGGATAAAACCACATCTCCTTAGTTCTAGTGAAATGATTAGAGGTAAATTATGATTAGGTATGGTGGGAGTACAACATAATGCATTAATAATTACAATATTACATACATGTTTTCAATAAGCATAATTGCATGGATCTTCAGGACCACACAGTCCCCTCTGGATGGTAACATGCAATAGACCACTACACAATGCTAGTATATGTAGGTGGGTGTGTGTATTTATTTTATTTAGTATATTTCATAGCTGCACATATCAACTTTAATAAGGTTTTTGAAAATAATGTATTAATTAAAAATGTGACGGTAATATTTGGTAATTATAAGAATTTTTAATCAAAATTGATGACAACCTGATGAGGACACGTTCTTTAATTATAATTTGAGGACCAAGATGAAGTGAAGTGGAAAATGAAGTACCTTTCATAATCTGATGGCCTCGGATGCAAATCTCACCTACTTGATTCCGGGAAAGGGACAGGCCACTGTGAGGATCAACGATCTTCATCTCAGCGTTTCTTACGACGGTCCCGCACGCACCTGATTTTGCCCCATACGCCTTCTTCGCAAACGCTAAGCTCATTGAAAGCACGGGCCCTGCCTCAGTCATCCCATATCCCTACATTTTCACATGCTTATATTTTGAGTCTGTATATCGCATAAGTGTGAGCAATAAAAAAAATAGATTAATGAATTTTTTTTATCACACTATCAAACTAGATTATATTTGAACATTATCAAGTCTAATTAAAAATAATTTTTTTAAAGTATTTTCTGCATTTGCATAGACTTAAATCTGAGAGACCTCAAGGTTAAATAGCAGTAAAACCTTTTTGACTAGAACCAACATTAATCAGTCACTAAGACCTTAAAGTTTAAGATGCATGATAAAATTATACTCATTAAATTTAGATAAAATTACACATATTAATAAAGTTTATTAAATACACTTTACAAATTTATTTTTTTAAAATAAAATTATAAATTTTCAAAAATATCATTTATATTCAATATAATTTTATTTGTGAAACATTAAAGAGGGAATATAATAATTAAGGAGGGAAGAGTAATATTATAACAAAATGAAATTTTAATTTTATCAAAGTATGTTATATTTTAAAATATTGAATCACTTTTAAAAATGTCTTATATATTAGGACAGAAAGAACAGTAAAATATTGTGTCATTTCATTAATTTTTGGGATAAAATTTTAAGACATCCTTTTAATTATGCTTTTCAATACTGTCCATGTCTTGCTTTTGTCGTTCATTTTCATTGGTTTTTTTTATTCCTATTTAATGTAAATTTGACTTCATTCTATGCAAACCGAACTTATTGGTGTCCACAAATCTCATTCTATCTTTTATTTTCTCTGTTTTTTTACCTTGCAAAATTGAAATTATCTTAAAATTTTTCTTCATATTATCTTCAAATTTTAAGATCATAAATGAATAAAGCAAAAATTTATTTATTCAACTAGTTAAAGTTGGCATGAATGATAGGGATTCTTATTAATTAAGCAAATAGTTAAAAGTTCAAATCTCAATCTTTGTGTATGTAGCAACTTAGTTAGAAAATTTTTACCTTTCCCCTATCAATTATCATATGGGAAATAATGTCTATTGATGGCAGAGCCTACTTAAGGTTATAAAAAAAATAATTATTCATATTTTAAAATACACGAAAGTTCATGTATTCTACATACGTGTGTCCAATTATATAAATACTGTACTTTATATATCATTTTTAAACGACCCAAACTTATTATAGAATGTTGTTTTCCAATGATACTTACTTCAAAAGTTAGTGTCATGATCAAAAGTATTTATGTCATACTGAAAAAAGGGTTTAACTATCTAAGCCTAAGACTAGTTCGGGTGATAAAGATGAGACGATGACGATGAAAACATGGTGTAACTATCTAAGGTTAAGGCTGGTTTAAGTAACAAATATACGTAAAATGTGGGTAGAAGTAAAGCATTAAAACTAAAAAAAAAATAGTGTAAAAACGTGCTAAAAATAAGTTATGTACTATCAATTAAATTAAGTTGCACTGTGGAGGCAATCACCTGTCCGAGTGTGGCTTGAGGAAGCTTGGCCCTCACAGCATCCTCGAGCTCTTTCCCCAGTGGAGCCGCACCGGACAAAATCATCCTTATAGACGACAGGTCGTATCGATGCAGGTTTGGGTTCTTCGCAAAGGCCAACAAGATGGGCGGCACAAACGGCGCAACGCTCACTCGGTGTTTCTCTACCAGCTCAAGCAACGTCCCTATCTCAAACTTCTGTACGATCAAAATCGCAGCACCGACACGAAGCCCACACAGCAACACAGAGTTCATCGCATAAATGTGAAACAGAGGCAAAACGCACACAATCACATCGTCTCTTTGAAGATACAGATTAGGGTTCTCTCCATCAACCTGTTGAGCCACACTTGTAACGAGACTCTTGTGCGTGAGCATGACCCCTTTGGGAAGTCCTGTCGTGCCTGATGAATAAGGCAGCGCAACGACGTCGTCTGCGGAGATCTTCACCGCCGGGATTCCCCCTTCATCGGCCTTCGTTAAATCCGAGAAAAGTAGGAAATCAGTCGTCTCGTCGATACACATCACTTGGATGTCACTGTCTCTGGCCAAATCCGTAACCTTGTCGGCTAAGGATGATTGTGTTATGATGAGCTGGGTTTTGGAAGCCGTGGCTTGCTTGGCGATCTCGGCCGGGGTGAAAAATGGGTTGGCAGTCGTGACGGTGGCGCCGAGGTAGGAGGCTCCGAGGAAGGCGAAGACGAATTGGGGACAGTTCTGGAGGAGAAGCATGATGACGTGGCCTTGTTCGATGCCGAGGTTGTTGAGACCTGAGGCGACTTTCCGGGCGGTGAGCTCGACATCGGCGTAGGTGAAGGTCTCGCCGGTGTTGCCATTGATAAGGCAGGGACGGTCTTTGAACTGGGACAAGTTCTGGAAGCAGTAAGTGTGGAGAGGGAGATGGGAAGGGATGTAAATGTCTGGCAGTTTTGAACGGAAAATGAATTCATTATGTGGAGTTTCCATTTCTTGTTTGGTTACTGGGAAAGTGAAGGAAAGTAAGGGGTGGGTTTTTCTTGGAGAAGAAAAGGAAGGTGGAGCTCTGCTGATGGCATGGTGAACACGAACTAGGTACTGCCTTATGTGACGAGACCTTAGATCTTTTGGAGCAACGTTCAGATGCGATTCTGGTAATATAGAAGCAGGAAGAGCCGGTCGGAGTGGACATTTTTGGTATTTTACTAACTTGCAAAGGGTAATTTAGACTTGCCAAGTGTCAACTAGTGATGGTCATATGGGTTATGGCCCTTTCTAACTGAGAATTCTTTTTTTGGCCAAAAAAAAAAAAACAGAGAGACTTCTTTAGAACACGTTAAACGCATTTCACTGGAAAAAATAAAAATAAAAAAATAATTCTTTTTTTGGACCGAAAAAAATAAGTCACATGTAATGATTTTGGTCATATTTATAGATTTATAAATTATTTTCAACATATTTTCTTAAAACCAAAGAAATTTTTTCTTTTACCAAAACAAAAACCATATAGAAAAAATTCAAAAATCATTAACTCACTCTAAAACCTCAATAAAAATTTTCAATTTCAATACTTATTAAACATATAAATCATAAATAAACATATATATATATATATATACACATATATTATAATTTCCCACAGTTCTTGAAAACTGTGGGAATATTTATTGTGGGAACATCCACGGTTCTGATAGAATCATGGAAAATGGTGACATAAAATTAAAAAATTGATATTATTATGATATATTATAATAAAATTGCCTAAATGTAATAAAAAATAAAAAATTCAATTAATATTTTAATTAATGCAGAAAATTAAAATTTAATCCCGCATCACTGATTACGCGTAGGTTTTATGATTCCATAGCCAAAGGTTTAATTTATTCACTCCAGACAAATTAATTTAATCTGATGAGAAATTTAATTAATTTGAGAAGCATTGAATAATATTAAAAATGAGTAAATTTATTAAAACTTAGTCCATAATTTTGCTTGGTCATATATGTATTGGCCAAATTGAAGATAGTATATTATATTAAAATACCTCAGCACAATACAAATGAAATTATCAAAACATCTACCCAAATGACAATAATTAAAAAAAAAAATACAAATAGAATAAATACAAACTAAAGGACACCACCAACAATACGAGAATCCTGTGATTGAGAGTTCTTTGGGAGGAATACCAAAAAATTAAAGAAATATATAAGAAAAATAAAAGTATAGAAGACATATATCAGAGGATGAAGAAGAAGAAAGGCAGATAAAGAAGTTTTACTAGATGAAGGAGCAGAAAAGATAAAATAGAGAAGAAATATACCCAATGATAAAGAAGACGAAACACAGATGAAGAAGTTTTAGAAGATGAAGAGGTAGAGCTTTGCAAATATGAAAATAAAGGCTGAGTGTGCTTCCATAGGCAGTGAGAATATAGCACGTGCAATGCCAATGGAAAAATGAGAAAGAAAATCTGGAGCAAATGCAAAAATAAAGGAGCGAGCACGAATTAAAATTGAGCAGAAGAAAGAGCAATATATAGGCATTCCCCTGATTTCTGATAGAACCGCGGGAAAATCTTCTAACAGAAAAGATATTTTCCCACAGTTGCTGACAAAACTTGTTTTTGTTAGAAATGGTGGGAAAAATAGTAATTTTTTTAAAAAAATTACTTTTCCTACAATTTTAAAGGAAATTGTGGGAAAATCCACAATTTATAAAAACTGTGTAAAATAAACCATGGAAAATGCATGGTTTGTTTGTAGCGTGTGTGTGTTGGGGGTCGAAAAGTTTTATTTTTACTTGTCTACTTTATACATTGATCCTTTCTCGTATTGCTAGAGAATATAATTAAACAGGACAAAAATACATATTCTTTGAATTTGAAAGCGTATCCTGATTTTGATAAGCTCCTGAAACATAATATAGCAAAATTTATGTTTATAAAAAAATAAAGAATTAAAGAGGACAGATCTACAAAGGAACTTTTAATCTCCTTCTCACTTCATTTCGTCATTGGATCGACATAATCTCTATGCATATATTGAGGAGTATGGGTTAATATAGAGCTTATATTGACACATACAATGAAATAATTATGTGACCAACAAACCAGCTCCATGGCCAATAAAAAGTGGTCTATTTTTCGGCCAACAAGAAGAGTTACATTCATTATTGTTGTTGTTGTTGTTATTATTATTATTATTATTATTAATAATAACAAGAAGATAAAATTTATTAAGTAATCTAGTTGAAAATAGTGTTAGTTTTTAGCGAGGTATTGAAAACTAGATCAATTATTAAATCAGTTAAGAAAATAATTTAAAGATTAATTGTTAAAACTGTAGTCTAACAATAATCAAATCAATTATTAAAAAAATATTTTATTTTATCAATCAAAAGACGGGTTCACTAATTCAACCAAACAGGCAGTAATAAATTTAGAAATATACATATGGGGGGCCAAAATTAAAAATCACCTAAAATATTAGGGGACTACAGCAAATTCTTTTTCATTTTTTTTTACAAAAAATTAAAAAAAAAATCAAGGAGCAGTGAAATTGTAGGGGCCAAGCACCCCCTTGGCCAGCTACATGCGTTACTGCGAACGGATGAATCAGGATTTCTATACTATGGATTTTAGATCAAGGGATTGATGAAAATGCAGCATAAGAGATAAGACTGAGAAAAACTGAAGTAAGTTGAAATTGAAGGGGCCATCTATGTGTTATGTCTATTCAAAAACAGCCAAAGGAGAATTAGCTTGCGCGTCTGCATATTCCATCAGTCAATGCAATGATCATCTCATGGAAAAAGACATTTTCGTTAGGCCGATCCAATTTTAACATGCACGGTTGTACAAGTCTATTCCAATTTTGAAAAATAAAATCACCTTCGTGGGTAGCATCAATTTGAATTCGTCGCCATGATTTCTTCTTAATTTAAATTTAAAAATAAAGTATTTTAAAAAAATAATTATTGAACCGATCAAAATATTCCATCAGTTGGAACATGGTTGAATCGAAGATAATTAAATTAATATATTATATATAATTATATATTAGCTAATAAACATTTTGAATAAAAAAAGATAAAAAACACATAAAAATATTTCAAATAAAAAACAATGGTAAAATTAAATAAAAATAGAGTTATAAAATCCTTGAAATAAAATATAATTTAAAAGTTAATAAATATTTTATAATTTTAAAAAATAAATAAAATAATTATTGGATGTAAGATATCTATAACATATACACTTATTTATAAATTATAATTTATAATATAGATACATAATCAGGGACGAAGCCCAGATCTAAGAATGAGCGATCATAATTAACAGTAACTTATTACAAAATTTATATAAATTATAGTGTAGATGAACAAGCATAATGTCTATATAATTTTATGAAAAAACTTAGGTTGTGTTTGGATGGGTAAATTTAAGTTGAAAATTTAAATTTAAAATTTCACATTTGAAATTCATGAATTTTAAATTCTTTGTTTGGATGAAATAAAAAATTTTAAATTATAATATTAAAATCATTTGTTTGAATCTAAAGTAAAATTTTAAATTTTAAATTCTATATTTGAATTTAAAAGAAACTTAAAGACCAGTCAAAGTCGACAGTCCGAATAGCCAACTTCTACTGAGATCAGACAGTTAAAGTTGACTGAGACTATAGCACCAATGACGATCGAGATGAGACAGTCAACGTTCATTGAGACTAGACCGATGACGATAATGGGAACCAAACAGTTGACTTTCACTTGGACTAGCCTGATGGTGACAATAGGGATTGGAAGGCTAACTACCACCAGGACCAGACTAACAGTGATCAAGGGACTAGACGACTACCTTTCACTAGGACTGGATGGTCAACTTTCATAGGGATTGGTTCGATGGTGACAACTGGGATCGAATGGTCGACTTCCATCGGTATTATACTGATGACAACCATGGAGACCAGACTGATGTCCAATAAGACAAGAACGATAATGACAATCGAGATAGGATAGTCTACTTCTACCAGAATCGAGTGGCTAACTTTCATCGAGACTGGACCAAGTGGAAGTCAGTTGTCGAGTCCTGATTGTCACCATCGGTCTAGTCCCAGTGGAAGTCGACCATTTAGTTTCAATTGTCACTGTTGGTCCTATCTTGATGGAAGTCAGTCGTTTAGTCCTAGTCAATGGTGACAACTTATTTCTATCAACTTTGGCGATTCGATCCAATTACTGTAGGCGGGTCGATTAAACCTTTGTGAATTTGGGTCAAGTTATAAAAGAGATTGAATTAAGATTTGAAATAATAAGAATTTAAAAAGAATTTTAAATTATAAAGAAACTGAGGTAGAATTTGAACTTGAATTTAACCTAAATTTAAATCTATATATTTTTAATTATTCAAATAATGAATTTGACTCAAAATTCAATCCAAATTCATATGTAACCAAACATGGCATAAAAATTTTAGGAAGATCATGTCCCTACTCAAACTTTCACCAATTTAACTGGCTTGATTAATTTTGAATTGATACCTATTTTTTCTTAATTCTGGGCTAGACCAAGCACCAATTCACTGAATTTTCATTCTGAATTAGCTGATTTGGTCCCCCCCTTCATACAATATTGCTTGAAAGTATCAATTTGCAATAAAACTAATACGTAATATATGGGATACATTTAAATAATGAATTTTTCAATATATAACTTTCTCATGAATACTCTATATGGTTATTAAAAAAAAGCTTTCAAAGTCATCAATTTAATATTTATAACTCATGCACACACATGTCTATGCCGATCTTTTTTGTTTTTTTCGGCCAGAACATATCTATGCAGATCTTATCTAGGAAAATAGTGAAGTAATATGAATGATTCTAAAGGCAGATCAATTCAACCAATTAATCAATAGACTTGAAGTTTTAACAATATATATCTGGTCACGGACTTGACAATCTTCCATAAAAAATGTATCAAGCAGAACCATTAGTATGAAACCGTTGATAATTAATAAGTAAAAACTATAAACACTATTAGAAAAATTAGATTTAATGAAAATAATTTGTGACAGATTATAAATATTTGTGATAAATTAGTGACAGATTTTGAATTCCTCAATTTTTTTCAATGTTCACAATTTTAGTGACAAATGTGATTCTGTAACTTTAGTAATTAATAAAATATATTATATAAAATAAAATCAATAATCATTCAAAAATACATCATAGTTAAAAAGAAATAAAACACCTATTTCTATTTTATAATTTAATTACTAATCAATATATATATACATATATTATAAATGAAACGCATAATATTTTGTTTAAAGAAAGCATAATAGTTATGATAATAAAGTGGTTGATGTAAAGCAATTGATAGCACAATAATTATGATAGTAAAGTGGCTGATAGATACTCATGATGCTAAAGGTTACTTCAAGCACTAATGGCAAAAAATAAATGTTAAAGTTTGGAGTGCCGTGAAGGTTGTTGGTTCTAACTTCTAACCAAGGAGCGCACCTTCTAAGAAATAGAAATATTATCCACAATATCAAGCATCTAAGGTTACAGGTTTTAGTTGGGTTTTACTTGGAGAAGGTGAGAAGAATTCTAATGCTTTTTTATTTTCATCATAAAAAAAATCTAATAATTAGTGATGATACTGTCGCATGAATTAATGACACTATATTTTTAATTAAAATTTATATCACTAAATTAAAAATTAGTGGCAAAATTTTCTGTTCAATAACAGCTATATCAATCACTAATATCAATTTTTCTAGTAATGAAAATAAAGTTGAGCATATTAAAATAATAATAATCCCAATTGAATTGTTTAAACTCATCCATGTATTCATCAATAACTAATTTTATTTTGGTAACTTTTTAATAAACAGAATTGCTTTTATAATTTTAGTTAGACACTACACAGAGTATTACCGAATTTTAAATGATGCACCGAAAATCCATTAATCCTTAAAAAACAGAGAAATGAATCTTCTAATTTTTTTTTCAGATTTATGAAAATTAACAACTCTGTCATTAAATAATCAATTATTTTGTTGAAAAATTATAACTTTAATGATAAAATATTTTCTTTAAAATTAACAAAAAAATTTATATTAAGTTTAACATTTTAAGTTGTCATCTTGTTCCAGGAAGCGAGTTATCCCAAGTTGTAGAACCAATCAAACTTTTGACCGTATGGTCCAAGACTGAATTCTAATTACAGAAGCTAGCCAGTTAGCGTGACCATGACACTGGATAACAACACGCGTCCTTCATTTCTACACGCATTCACTTTCTCCTTCGTTTACTTGCCTACCAAGTTCTTATCCTTGCAAATCTACATTCATGCCTCACTTTCGCTATATATACACACACAAACACACACACACCACCTTCCTTTTCTCAGTTTTGCTGTCAATCTATAACTATAAGCCAAGCAAGCAATCGGCATATACGAGCATGACTATGAACACGAAGAACAAGTCTCTGCTAAGCCGTCTGAGGATGGTGGTGAACAAGGTAAGGCTCCTACTCAGCTCCGCCGTCCTCAGCCGCACCTGGCAGATTGCATCCGTCATCCGCCGGGCTTCTTCTCTTCCCCACAAACGCCACCTCAGCTTCAGCGATCGCTCACCGTCCGGCTTGGTGATCTGTAACTCCGTCATCGACGAAGTAAACACCAGCCCTGATCAAGGTTCGGCATCTTCGAATAGACTTATAAGGACCGCGAGTTGTTCTTCGGACGATGATATCGACAAGAGAGCAGAGATCTTTATAAATAACTTCAGGCGTCAGCTTCAAATGGAGAGACAGATCTCGCTGCAGCTTCGATATTGCAGAACAAATAGCTTTGAACCTTCTCCATGATTGAATTCTTTCAGTCTGAATTGGACCGTGTTCAAGATTAATGGAGAGTTTGTGAACATTTTGGTTTTCTCCTTCTGGGTTTTTCAGGGAAGGACGCAATTCGTTTTGATCCAATCGGCATGAAGAGATGACGGCTTTGGATTGATCACAGATTGTAGAAATTGGCATATCTCGATCGATCTCTGCTTTTTTTAATTGGGCAAGAATGATCGGGGAAATTAGTGTTAATTGATTTATTATTTTTTGATTGTGAGACGCTGTCAGCTTATTTCAATGCAAATTCGCTAAAGAACTTTTTTTTTTTTTTTTTGTGTATTCAGATGCACGACGCGAGTGTTGTTTAATTTAATTTGTCCAATGTATTGGTGTGAAAAATTATGAAAAATAACTCAAACTATATTTGAGTGTTCATTTGAAATAAAATAAATATTTATATTGTAAATGTAACGACACTTTTGTGCACGATACGGCACAATGTTATTTTCAAATCTTTCAACATATACAGACTTCCAGGTCCAAAAAAAACATATACAGACTTGCGTGTAAGCACGTCTCTAAGTTTAACTCTATGTATTAGCGCCGCCATCTTTGTTTTCATTTTTAGAAGGTAATTAAAAGCATACTTTTGATTTTCAAATAACTTTATATAAAATTTTTGTTTCATCTCTTAATTTTATAAAATATTTTTTAGTCTTCTAATTAATCTTAACATTATTAATCTCAAATGATGATTTTTATAGCAATCTTTGTTATTTTAAATAATTAAGCTTAATATCAAGGGCCGTTGGTTCAACTGATTAATAGAGTTAAATCGGCTTATCCTAATAATAGTCTCATATAGTAAGGATTCATATTAGTTTGAATGGGGCCAAGGTATTGGGTGATGAATAAAATAATTTAGTTTGATATGTCAATATTTGATAATATTTTTTTTATTTGTAAGGGTTTAATGTCAACAATTTTTATTAATAAAAATAATAATGTTAGAATTAAAAGATTAAAAAAATTCTCTATAAAATAAGGGACTAAAATAAAATTTTTATTGCATTCTTAATTAGAAAAAACTATTTAGTTATTTTCATATTCCTAAAAAATGGCAAACTAAATTTTACTGTGTAGTAGGAATTGATTTATTAATTTGATACTCTTTCCATTAAAAAAATATAAGACACTTTAGATATTTTAGGTGCAGATAGTGATTTTTTTTAAATATCCTTAATTAGAAGTGTAATTAATAAGATTTCACTACTACAAAATTGTTGATATAAAATACAAAAAAAAAATGATAATTAAAATAAAATGCGACATTTAAAAGAAAGGTGGGGTGTTGCTTAAACTATAAATGACAAATGTTTTAACCACACATCTTATTTTAATATAATATATAGTAGGTGTTTAAACACCCATCATACAAAGCATTAAACAAAAAATTAAAAAATTAATATCAACATAAATAATGAGTTTTTGATGTTAACAGTATGTGTCAGGTGATAAAACACCAATCATATAATTTTTCAGTTTTTGGCTGTTAAAAACTTAAAAAATTTAGGGCTTGTTTGGCAATTTGTTGTAGGAACAATTTTTGGATCCAGAATAAAAAAATAAAAAAAATTTGCTTGGTAACATGTTTTTAAAAAGTATTTTAAAACATAAAAAAATAAAATATTGTTCTATGAGAATAGAAAAACAAAAACATCTTTTAAGTGTTTTGAAATTATTGTTTTGGAGAATAAAAAAAATAAAAAAATGCCTATTTTTATTTTTTTCTCAAAACATGTTCTATAAAACACTAGTTTTCATAACAGTAAAACAAAAATAATTTCAAACAAGCCCTTAAACTTTACATAACGAGCATTTGAAACACCTATCAATTAAAGGTAGAACTTGTGTGGGAATAAATGACCGGCATTCAATTGCCCGTCATTTATTTTGTTTTAAATGTTTGTTTCGTGCTTCATTTTCAATCTTGTAATGGATAGTCTTCCCCCTTCTTCTCTTCTTCACTTGCATATGAAATTGCAAGAACACCCACAAAGTGCTGACATTGCCATCATAGACCACCATCCTTTGCTCCGACATGAACCCATTGCCATCTACTTGTCCTTCACATTTTTGGAGGTTTCTCTTTGGGTTTCAATCTTTTTGTTTGAAGATGTGTCTTTTTTTTGGTGTTTTTTATATTTTCTTTCAATATCCTTTGTTTTATTGGTTGTGGGAATGATTTATTAATTATTTTGGAAAGTTTTATTGATTAATTTTACTTGTTTAACTTTCTCTTCATTGTTGCTTTATTTTGGTATTGTAGGTTGTCAAAAATTGATAATGTTTGATATGTTCTTAACTTGAGAATACCAATGTAGGCTATGGATAGCCTTAGAATGATTTATGAGGATGAATATGAGTGATCAAAATGGATATTCATGATGATTGTATTTTTTTTATAAATTTTAAATTAATTTTTTGAATAATTTTTAATTTAATTTATATGTTTTATTTGATCTAAGTAATTTTATCTTAGAAACTATATATTAAAATTTACTAGTACGCCAAATTTTATTATAATTGGAGTTGATTTAAGTGACTCAAACTAACATGTAGTTTTTTTTTTAAATCATAACTATTTTATTGAGATTTTGGCATTTGATAATGAATGATATTTCTATTATACCTAAATTTAGACACCTATACAGTAATACAAAAGATGAAAAAAAAAATTGACAAGGCATATAGATGAATGGATCAAAGATAGGAACTTTCAACATTCAACTGATTCTTTTCAATAGAAAAAATGATGTCAATTAATTTTGGAGCAAAATATAGAAACACTCGCCTCGTATTATCTACTAATGAAATGAATTCACATGGACTTCAAAGTAACACTCACAATACATGGCTAGTTATTTTAGTAATTTATAATTTACCTTCATGGTTATACATGAAGAGAAAATATATGATATTATTCATGCTAATTGCAAGGCCCAAACAATCGAAAAATGATATAGACATATATTTGGCTCTTTTAATTAAGGATTTGAAACTACTGTGGGATAATGGTGTTGAGGTCTATGATGGGTCTAGAGAAGAAATTTTCAATTTGAGATTAATATTATTTGATAAAATCGATGATTTTTTAGTATATAGTAATTTGTTAGGATATAATATCAAGGAGAAACTTAGATATTCTATTTGTGAAAATGGTACATATTCAAAAGATTAGAACATGGGATGAAGAATGCCTAAAAAAAGAAATTTGATTCAAACTGATATTTGCATCGGCTTCAATGAACATGACTCCTTCTCCATTACAATCTGCCATAAGCTTCCGACCAGGACCTTCCCTGAGCCGACCTGCAAATGGATAGTAAAACACCAGAGCTTGAGCCAGAGCCTCCTTACTTGATGAGTTTTGCAGGGTCTTTTCCTTTCATGGAAACCATCTTGATCATCAATGTCGGAGAGTAGCTTCAATTCACGAGGGGTGGGCTTTGCCGGAGCTACCAGATCCGGTCGGCTTCTCCTCACAGCATACACTACTTCACCTGCAGGTGGAGCCATGTTATCACACAAATTGATAAGAAGATTGCAAGGGGATTGAAAAAGAGTGAGACTCTTAATATAATTTATGTTTCGAGTTTGATCTGGGAATCAATATTTGTAATGATAATGGGACAATAATATATTAAAATATTGTTTAATTTATGGGGTTTGCTTGTTATAGACCTGATTGCACTAATAATAATTTGAGTGAGTTATCCCTTTGATGATTTTGCAACCATTACCCTCGTGATTGCACTAATAGAAATTTAGAATTTAGGATATTAAATAATTATGCAACCCACTATTTTCCTCCAAATACTATCATTCCCAGATCAATCTCAAATTGAAAATTTCTTCTCTAGACCCATCATAGACCTCAAAATAACCCTTTCCCACGTGAGTTTGGAAATAGGATCATACATGTGGCATTATTATCTTTTTAATAATTTATGTTTCGAGTTTGATCTGGGAATCAATATAATCTCACGTATTGCTATCAATAGTTTGTGCTACAGCAGATAGTTGCATCTTAATCATTATTATCAATGCCTAAAAAAAGCTTTCAATAAGAAGTCAAAAAAATAAGGCATCTTTGCCACTAATAGGTGAACAACGTTTTGATAAGGTGAAGAATTTAAATATTGAGTTTGGTAAAACTTTTTTGCAAAGCTCTTAGGACATATGGGTGGAAAAAAATGTTTATTTTCTTTGACTTATCATATTACTAATCCTTATATATGAGACATTTTTTTTAATATCATGCACATTGAAAGAAAAATGTATGCGATAGTTTAATTGATATATTACTGCATATTTTGAGAAAGACTAAAGATGGTATCAAGGCAAGGCTTGATATGATTTTCATGGGGATAAGGGGAGAGTTGACATCACAAGAGAAGGGAAGTCGCACATTTTTTTGTGCGACGGATCATACATTGTCTAGAACATAAAAGAAGACTTTTTGTGAGTCACGTATTGCTATTAAAGTTTCAAAGAGGTACTTTTCAAACATTCAAAATCTTGTGTCATTGAAAGATTTGAAACTGAAGGGTCTAAAATCACGTAATTACCATGTGTTGATAGAAAATTTTATTTAGGTGGCTATACATTCTATTTTACTTGATACAATTCAAGCCATAATCACTAGATTATATTTCTTCTTCAAGTCTATTTATAGTGAAGTGATTGACCTAACAAAATTACCAAGATTGCAAAGCCAAATTGTATTAATATTGTGTGAACTTTAGAGGTATTTTGTGCCTGCATTGTTTGACATAATAATGGTGTATCTAACTATTCATGTAGTTAGAAATACAAAAATGTTGGCTAAGCTTTCTTGAGATAGAGGCACCCATTTGAGTGTTACATAAAGATACTAAAAAAGTATGTGAAAAATCAGAGTCGACTAAAGGTTACATTGTCATTTGGATAGTTGAATTCTGTAACAAGTACTTATTAAATGTCAACCATATTAGGCTTCTAATTGCTTAGCATGATGGTAGAACAAAAGGCGAAGGGGCTAAGGGCAATAGTGTAGTTACTATCTCTAGCTTATAATGGGAACAAGTATATCTATGTATTACACAACTCTAAAGAGTTGAAGAGTGTGTGGAGAAGCACATGGCTAAGATTAAAAGGGATAACCCTAATAGATCAGACATTTGGTATGCCAACAAGCATAATAAGAGTTTTACAATTTGGTTGAAAGAGTACATTCTTGAGAAGTTAACTACTAATCATGTTTCAATTTATGAAAAATTAAAATGGTTAGTAAGAAGTCTAAATAAACAACTCATTTCTTTCATTGGTTATCTTATCAATTGATACACATTCTATACTAAAGAGCAAGATGATTGGAGCACAATGAAAAATAATGGTGTAACTCTTATAGCCCAAGCAATGAAT